ATGGCGTTTCTTCCGTGTTCCGTCTTTCGTCTGGCACACGGAAGACGGAAGAAAGACTCTATTTAAATAATCCAACAAAATTTCGAAACAATTTTTATACCAATCGATAGCTCTTATTGAAATCTACATTTTGTCTGTTGACAGCTTTTTGGTAGCATTTTTCATTTCGAAGATAAAACGTCTTCCGTAAATTTCCGTAAATCTCTTCCGCTCATCTCTGCTAGTAATGCAGTACAATAAATACGAGACTTTGTCACATTTTGAAGAATTCAATTCTGAAAAAAAGGAAATATTGAAATTAAAAAAAAATGAACAACCCACTATTTTTGAGTGCATACGCACTTGGTTTATCACCCTCCTTCTTCGTGGTACCTGTCGTTTTACTCGGAGAATCTTCTCTGAAAAAATAATATTATTTTTCAAATAAATGTTTTGTGTCAACAGTAACCATTTGACAGGAAAATGTTGAGACAATACTATTACAGACTATTATGTTGAAAGATCTTTAAAATTTAAAAGCCCAAAAATGGCATACTTACACTCCGGATGCTGGTTTATCCTTCTTTGATTCTGAAATTTTGAAAGATCATAATTCTCTCAAATGTCTCTGAAACTCACCTCGTGGCTCTTTCGTTTTACGACTTCGTATCACAAAAAAGGCCCCAATTCCGAGAATGAGAAGAAGAAGGACAGCTCCCACAAGAATCAAGAACCACGTTCTGAAAAAAACAATTAATTGACAGTATAAGATAGAAAAAAGACTTACTGTTCATAAAACTTTTTCTGAGAAGTCTTCAGTTGAAGCTGGGCAAAGAAGGAATCCATTGACTCCAGAGCTGATTTCGACGCTTTGATGGCAGAATGGTGATTTGTAAATTTCCGTAAATCTCTTCCGCTCATCTCTGCTAGTAATGCAGTACAATAAATACGAGACTTTGTCACATCTTGAAGAACTCAATTCTGAAAAAAAGGAAATATTGAAATTTAAAAAAATGAGCAACCCACTATTTTTTGAGTGCATACACACTTGGTTTATCACCCTCCTTCTTCATGGTACCTGTCGTTTACTCGGGGTCTCTTCTTCGAAAAAATTATTCTATACTAACTTCCAAAAACCGGAAATTTTGAAAGTTTGGGATTTTGGGTAGGTATTAAAACTACTTAAAGGTTATCAATCTTTCTGAAAATTGACACAGGTGTACACAAGAAATTCTATTTTATTTCAAAATCCTATTTCCCAGTTCATAATCTACCAGAATCCATCAACAAATTTGGGGGCATCCATCCCCCCCCCCCCCCTCCATCTAACACTTTTAGCTTATTTTGTCAGTCAGACTCCTATTTTTCGAAGTTTTCGAATCAAAATAATGAAAATGTTGAAAAACTGATGGTCGTTCGATTTTCGTTCAATTCGCAGTCGATTACGTAGGGACAAGTTTTAACCCAAAAAATAATGAGTTTCTAACGCCCGGTACAAGACTTCAAAGATGGGTTTCTGAAAAAGGGAGAAAATTGTTGGTCGCCCCGCCCAATACTATTAGAGGGCTGATGTTCTTTCAAAAATATATACAGTTTTGCATATACAGTGGTGAACATTAGTGAGTGTCCCTCTATTCTTTTGTTCATAACTTTGCTCAAACTTGTCCAATAATGAAAAACGTTTTTGTTAAATGTAGCTGGGTTTCCAATGAAACGTTGTATAGATTTTTTGAAACTCAATCACATTTTGTGTCTTCTGAATTTTCGCAAACGTGACGATAACTCCAGAAGAAAAAAAACAATTTCCGACAGGATTTTTTAAAGATTGACTTTGTAAATATTTTTTTAATAGTTTAGACACAGTATAAAAATTAAGGAAAACATTTTGAAACAATGATGTGATTCAAAAACTAAAATTTTATTTGTATTCTGGTTATGAAGAAAGCTCTCTAATGACAAGTTTCGTTCCACATTGAAGAATCGAATTTAGATCTGAAAGAAAAGTTAATATTGAAATTTTAAAAAAAAAATCAACACCCACAACTTTTGGAATTCGCAGGAACTTTTTTTCTCATCACCCTTCTTCGTGGCTCCTGTTTTCTGAGTCGGTGTATCCTCTGAAAAAATAATATTATTTTTCAAAGAACTTTTTATAACAATAATCTTGGTTCCGCTATAGCTCGGCTCAAAATGATCCAAATTTTCTCAAATTTTGAGAGAATGTGTGTTTTTAATTGCTCTACAATTCACATGCAAAACTTTGTGTTTTGGAGAAAAAAACAATTTCATATTTCTTTCATTTTCATGTACCAAAAACGGGTAAAATCATTTTTTGAAAATAGAGATTTTTTGTGAAAACTAGGTCAAATCATGTGAATAGCTTCAAAGTGGGAATTCCGGATTTTTCCGATTTTCAGCCGGATTCACTTTTTTTTGTTTGCAAAATCACGTTTTCTGAAGAGGAACATCAAATGCATGGTTTATTAGAAAATGATTTTCTCAAATTAAAGTTCTAGTCTTTTCCATAGAAAAAGCTAAAAATCGCTCAGAAAACGCCAAAACTGACCCAGACTAGGCCAAATATGACCTAAATTAGACCAAAAATCGCCTAAAACATGCTGAAAATAGTCTAGAAATAGCTGAAAATGCCCTAGAATATGCTGAAAATAGCCTTGAAAATCCTGAAAATGGCTTTGAAATGCTGACATTTTCCTTGAAATTGCTGAAAAATGTTCTAGAAAATGCTGTACATCCATCTCGGGCGGCTTTATTTTCTCCCTGTCCGCAATATTGCGTCACGGTGTGTGCACACTCAACGCACTTGATTTGACGCGCATACCGATATTAAATTAATTCGAATGAAATTCGCTTAAAATTAGAAGTTTAATTAGGAAAATGAACTAGAAGCAACCAGAAATACAAAAAAAAACAAAAAAAATGAAAATTAGTCAAAAATAGCCAGAAATACCGAAATCGGCTAGACTTCAAACTAGAAACCTATGGATTTTCCAGTCAAACGAAATATGAGAAACACGTCATCAGTTGAAACTTTTTTGATACCTCGGAACCGAGATAACTAGGCTTAAAATTGACGATTTGAGGTGTGGGTTTCTATTCGAGAAAATACGGTAGGTAGACAAAAAGCAACAGTGAACTAGAATCGTTCTAAAATTTTTCTAAAATTGAACAGCAACTGATCCCAATGAACATATCAATCCCATTCCTCTGATAACAAAAATGCCCCCCCCCCCTGAAGTTTCCCATCAGATGCAAAATTTGAACTGAGTACATTACATTTATTCCTGTTCGTCTAAACATTATTTTTCTTTCGCCAAACGCTTTCTGACTTCTTATCACGCTTATCATCACATGCCAACAAGAGGACCTAATACCAAAGTTTAGCCATGGTCTCTCTCTCTCTCCCTCTCCCCTTATCTTATGACGAATTTCCGCCGTATAAAAATACACTGTCTTGTTGAGTAAGATCTAAAATAACAATCCCTATGTGATTCTTCTCGTAAAAATGAGAATCTATATTCTCCTTCTCCTCCTTCCCTTTGTTTTCCCATTCATTCTGACAATGCCTATCAGTTATGGTGCATCTCTGAACTCTGTACATTCCGACGATTTGAGTGCTGAGGATTATCAAGTGCTCAGGAAGAATGAGACGAGGATTCAGTGAGTTGGAGCCATATACTGAGGATTTGAGGGGGGGGGGGGGCAATTTTGAAAACACTCAAGATTACTGTAGAATTAGAACTCCTCACTCCCCCCGCCAAAGGCCATTAACTTTCAGCCCATATATCTCGGTTACTTCAAGAGATATCAAGAAGTAATCAATTGATAAAGTGTTTATCACATTATCAGCAATATTTCATCAATTGACAAATTTTTGATATCTCTCATAGGATTCGAAATAATTGTGCTCAAAGTTGAAGCGAGGGAGCTTGCCGACCTGTGACATTTGAGTTCTATTAGTGTTTATGATATGGGACCCGTTGAACCCTTTAAAATTGGAATTTTGCCAAGAATTTTATATATTCTTGTAGCTGAAAACTCCAGGAGTATTTTGATATAAAAAATCTTGAAAAAACAATTACTGTAAGAATAGAACGCATACCCCTCTCCAGGGTGGGGGGGGGGGGGGAGGTTACCGTCAAGGGGAATCTGACATTTGAGTCCTTACATCTCACTTCCTGTAAAAGATATCAAAAATTTGTCAACTGATAAAATGTTTATCATAACATTTCCAATATTTTATCAGTTGACAATTTTTTGATAACTTTCATAGGAACCGAGATAATTAAGCTCAAATCTGATGGTGACTGAGTGGCGTTCTATTAGTGTTACCGGGAGGGGGGGAGCCCGTTGGTAGCTTCAAAATTATGATATCTTCAAGAAAATTATATATTCTTGTAGCTGAAAATCTGATGAGTATTTTGATATAAAGATCGTTTTGAAAAATATGGATTTTTAGAAAGATTTGGGCCTTTGAAAATCCCCAAAATTAATCCGATTTCAAAAAAGAAGCTAGTAACTCTTTTGGACCCGTTGGTCCCTTCAAAATTAGAGTTTCTCTATGAAATTTATATATTCTGATAGCTGACATTCTAAGGATCATTTTGATATAAAAACCGTTAAAATTGGTGCCGGTCGCGGTCTAGAAAACCGTACTTTCATATGAAAAATCACACTTTTAATCAATTTTTCCCTCCAATTAGTCAATTAACTCCTCCCCTAATTAACTTTTTCCCAGACGAATCCACAAACTCGAGCACTTCTTCAACGAGGACCATCACGAAGCCACGTGGACATGGAGGGATTCCATTTGCAGTGCTTTTCACTCGTTATCTCTTTTCCCACCCAATTGCTTTAAAAATTAGAGAAAATTGTTTTTTAAATTGTTTTCGAAAATTTAAAATTTCAAAATTTTTAAAAATTCTGAATTTTCTGACAATTACAGACTTAAAAATGTTTTTTTTTCAATTAAAAAAAAACCTAGACATTTTTTCCATTTTTTTGACATTCAGATTTTGAGATCTTGACCCACAATAAATTTTTGTGATTATTGATGGTTTTTCATTGTTATTACACCATTAGACAATCAGAGAGAGAAAGAGAGGGGACCGGTTAAAAATGACAGCAAAGGACCGGATTTTTAGTTATTTTTGGGGGAAAATGCTCAGAAATTTCAGAAAAAGAAATGCCCGTTGAGTGTAGATGAAGAATGAGAGAGAAGGAAAAAAGGGAAAATCTAGACAATTTAGACTATTTTTGAGGGGAAAAATGGGAAAAAAACAAAAAAAAATTATTGTCGATCCCTTTCCACAGAGACCACTCGGGTCTTAGGTGCTACTGGTGGAGGGGCGGAGCTTCGTGGCGCCGGCGACGGTGATTTTGACATTTTTCGGCGGTTCGGAGTCGTGCCACCAGTGTGTTTTAGTCCTGAAAATTGGGGATTTTATGAAAATTCCGCATTAAAAATCCCTTACCATTCATCAATTTCTCAAAATCTCCATGATCCATCCGCGTACTATCGATTTTCGCGCGTTGTCGTCTTCCGGCACCAAGACCTCCCACTTTTTCAGCCAATTCCATCATTAGCTGATCTTGTTCCGATGAGACTGACGATTTGGAGCTAGCCACACGAGCACGACGTTCTTGTTCCTCTTTTTGGCGCTGAAAATAAATTGTAGTTTGTAGTCTAGCCGATTTCCGTGTTTCTGGCTATTTTTTGACTAATTTTGATTTTTTTTTTGTTTTTTTTTGTATTTCTGGTTGCTTCTAGTTCATTTTCCTAATTAAACTTCTAATTTTAAGCGAATTTCATTCGAATTAATTTAATATCGGTATGCGCGTCAAATCAAGTGCGTTGAGTGTGCATACACCGTGACGCAATATTGCGGACAGGGCGAAAATAGAGCCGCCCGAGATGGATGTACAGCATTTTCTAGAGCATTTTTCAGCAATTTCAAGGAAAATTTCAACATTTCAAAGCCATTTTCAGCATTTTCAAGGCTATTTTCAGCATATTCTAGGGCATTTTCAGCTATTTCTAGACTATTTTCAGCATGTTTTAGGCGATTTTTGGTCTAATTTAGGCCATATTTGGCCTAGTCTGGGTCAGTTTTGGCATTTTCTGAGCGATTTTTAGCTTTTTCTATGCAATTTTCAACAATTTCTATGTCATTTTAAGCAATTTTCCGCATTTTCTAGATCATATTTGGCCTACTTTAGGTCACATTTGGCCTAGTTTGGGTCAGTTTCAGCATTTTCCAGACCGTCTTCATCATATTTTATGTCATTTTTCAGCACTTTCTAGACAATTTTCAGCATTTCCTACCTTCTCAGCAGCGGCCTTCGCCTCATTCTCCTGTCGACACTTATTATAATTGGCGACGAAGTGAGCCAACTTCTGGAAGAAGATGTTGGGAGGAGTGGTTTTTTCGTTCTCCCCGTAGAATTCGCAGCAATCCTTGAACGATGATTTGGCCAATTGGAAGGATTGCTCAAGATCCGTCATTTTTTGTTTCCGAGTTTCTAGGAATTCTTGGAGGGTTTCAGGGCAGTCGGCTCCTTTCAGCGATTGCTCTTTTTCAGCCATTTTGAATCCTTGTTCCAAATCTTTCATGTCCGAGGAGATGGAGTCCCATTGGACATGGGTGGCTTTCTCAACGAATTTCAGTTGATCAGCAAATGTCTGGAAAATTGAAAATACCGTAAAACCTGGGGAGGGCTTCAACTACAGAGGGGGCTTTTCAATTAGAGGGGAGCCTTCTATTAGAGGGGCCCTTTCAATAGAGAGGGCTCTTTAATTAGAGGGGACTCTTCAACTAGAGGGGGGTCTTCAATTAGGGGGGGGGGGGGGGCGTCACTTTCCCAATCTCCTCTCAGAGTGACCTTCTATTAGAGAGGCCCTTCTATTAAAGGGACCCTTCTAATACAAAAAATTCAAAATTCTCACCTTCAAATGCGACAAATGTGTCTCAATCTCCGCCACAATCATATGCAACAGTGTCAAACTCTTATCAGTTTGCGACTTGAGAATCGCTAGCGAATCCAGCGACGATAGCTTGAATCCATAGGCTCCGCCCCTTTTTCCACTATTCATATAGTTTCCGAAAGCCAGGATTACTTCTAGAACACCGTGGAACGTCTCCGCTTCTCGTGCACACTTCGATGCAGCTGTTACATGTGTCAATTGGGGTTCCAGGAGAGCCGCGGATTCATCGAATTCCGACATTATTCTCATCACTGATAGCTTATGCTCCAGCCGTTCGATTTCACATAGAGCCGCCACGAAATTATCCTCTTCTGAGAGCAAATCCATTGGATTCGTCTCGTTTTCCTTGCTATTCTCCTTCTTTTCTCTGTAGAGCTTCCTCTCATCGTCTGTCGGAAGGATTCTAGACAGAATGTCCACTTTTTCGGCTGGCAGTGACTGCAGGTCCAGCTGATGGACGGCTGCCATTATCGTCTTCGCATCCATCGCCACTTTTCGACGGGTGATCGCTGGAAAAGAGGGGGGGTTTGAGATAGGAAAATCTTCAAGTTTTGATTTGGTTTTGGAAAATTTCAAATTTCCTGAATTGCAAAAAAAATTCAGAACATTTGACATTTCTAGAAAATTGAAAAAAAAACTCGAAAAATTTAGAATTTTCGAAATTCGGAAATTCAAGAATTCAGGAAGTCGGAAATTTTTAGAAAAAATCGAATATTTTAAATTTTTTCAAATTTGAAATTTTCGAAATTTTTGAATATTCTCGAATTTTGAAAATTCTAGAATTTTCAGATTTTCAAAAATTTGCAAAATTTCAGAATTTTTGACTTTAGAATTTACTAAAAATTTCAAAAATTAAGGAAATTTCAGATTTTCTCAATTCTGATTTTTCGATTTTTCGACAAAATTGCAGAATTTCAAAATTTCTGAGCTCTTGAATTTTCGAAATTTTTTTGAAAACTTCGAAATTCTGAATTCTATGATTTTCCGATTTTTGAAATTCCAGAATTTTCGATTTTTCTGAAAATTTTCATTTTTTTGATCTGTGAATTTTGAAAATACTAAAGTTTCGAATTATTAAAATTTTCAGCATTTCTGATTTTTTGAATTTTTAAATTTTCTCAGTTTTCAGCCTTAAATTGCTTCAAAATTGCCGAAAATCCAGCCAACATGGTTCAAAATACCCAAAAACTGACCTGAAATTTGTTTAGATCGGCTTAAAATGCTAATTTTGGTTCGTTTCTAGACTAATTTAGGCCAAATTTCAGCATTTTCAGTCTAGTTTGGAGCCTAAAATGCTCCAAAATCGACTATTTCTGGCTGGAAAATCATAGTTTTTGGACTGACAACCTTCTTGAAATGACTTAAAATGACTTAGAAAAGTCTCAAAGCGAATTTCTAGACTAATATAGGCCGATTTTCAGCATTTCCAGCTCATTTAAGAGCTGAAAATGCGTTAAAATTGATTATTTTCGGCATTTTTTGAAGCTCAATGGCCTCAAAGTAATTTTTAAGAAATTCCAAAAAAAAGCTCACAACTCACCAACATTCTGAAACCTCTTCGCATCCAACAGCGTATTCTTCCTCGCCGAAGCCACGCCCCCTCCTCCCGACGTGACACTTCCCGGGCTCACTTGTCCGATGGCCTGCTCTTTTGGCTCTCCAAGAGTGTTGGTAGTTGTTGTTGTCATCTTGAACATCTCTTCTAGCTTTGAAAAATCAATTTTCTCAATGATCAACTCATCGTTGAGCTTCTCAAATACAGTATTCTTGGCTTGCATTGGCTTCATTGCGGCCCAATTCAACTGGGGAAGCTTGTTCTTGGTCTGATAGATCTTTTTGATAGTCTTCACGTCGTTGGATGCGGGTCCCATCATTCCCATCATTCCAGGGGGCGGTGGAGGTGGTGGTGGTCCCATTCCGAGGCCCGGAGGTGGTGGTGGAGGTGGGGGAGGTCCTCCTCCACCCATCATCATCATCGGAGGAGGTGGAGGTGGTGGAATTGGGACATTTGAGCCGTTTGATGATATCAAGCCGGCTATTGGAGGTGGTGGTGGGATAGAAGACACTGGTGGTGGTGCTGGTCGCGGATCCTTTGAAGTGGATCTCCGTTGCTCTTTATGGGGTCCTGGAGCTGGTGGAGGAGGCGTCGGAGGAGATTTCTGGGCGGCTGCTGCTGCGGCGGCCTGTTGGACTTGGAGACCGGCTTGCATTTGCTTCTGAATCGCTTCCAACTCCCCTATCTTCTGTTCCAACCTCTTCCTCTCCTCTCTCGCCTGTCGATCCTTCTCATTCATCGTTTTCGTCCATGTTCCCTTCTGTTCGACGTGCTCCTTCTCCATTCGATCTCGCTCCATCACCAGATCCAGAAGACGTCGATCCAGTGCCGCTTTGTCTGTTATCCACTTCGCTTCCACTTCTTGCACACGTTCGTTGGCCTGAAAGGGATCAAAATTAGTTGAAAATCCAATTTCCTACTGTAGCTTGATTAGCTGATTCTAAAAATCCAATTTTCATGAGAATCGCCCCTAAACTAATCTGCAATACCCCAGAATTTAGCAAATCCCTCACCTGCGACAGCCTCTGCTTCAACTGCTCCTTCTCCTCAATCAACTCTGTCTTCTGATTGGAATCTTCTAGAAGCTGTGCGACGTCCATCGCCGAGTTCTGATACGATATCATCCGTTCCTGTAGCTCATCGGATTCACAGTCAGCCATCAGCTCTATGTACTTATCCAGGCCGAGTAGTGTCATTTCATACTGTAGATGGACTCGGAAGTTCAAATCATCCACATTATTCACGAAGTAGTCGAAGAATTGGACAGCTGAAGAGAGGAATTCCACGTGGAATTCTGGAGGATTCCGAACGAATTGAATCAGGGTCCAGAAGCGTCGGGGTTCCCGGAAGTCTTTTTCAAAACGATCGAAGCCGTCGGAGACGATCTCCTGGCCACCCTGGACCATACAAATTGAGGAGAGCATTTGGATTACGAGGGTTTTGGTTCTGGAAAGATTAGAAATTGAAGATTTCTGGCTATTTTAGGCAATTTTTCGATAAATTTTAGGCCAAATAGGCCAGTTTTGAGTAATTTTTTCCTTTTCTAAATGTTCAAAACTTCTTTTTTAGGTTTTTTTACAGATTTTTAACTTCAAATTGATCTTTTTCAGTCAATTTCTAGCGACTTATAGGCATTTTACTACAATTTTTGATAAATTTAGAGCATTTTTTGATAATTGAAAGGCCAATTTTATTTCACTTTTCGATAAATTTATGAATTTTTGATAAATTCCATGCCCAAATTTGCCTTTTTGAGCTATTTTGGTCTAATTTTAAGCCATTTTTCGAGGATTTTGATAAATTTTTTGCCATTTTCAATGAATTTTATGAATTTTTGATGAATTAAACTCCAAATTTGTTAGTTTTGGGATATTTTCAGCCGATTTCTAATCAATTTCAAGCCAAAATTTGACAGTTTTGAGCTATTTTTGACCCATTTTTCGTTAATTTTTGTCAATTTTTGGCCATTTCTAACCTCAAATTCTGATGCAATATACTGCGTACGATACAATAAATCGCTTCGGTGTCGGCGAAAACTTGTTGAAATCCCTGCTTATTATTCATTATCGCCCTGAGACACATCATACAAATATGGATGTCGTCTTCCGCTTCGCCCATGCTTTTGCCAACTTTTCCCTTCGAAATCGTTAGTGGTCCTGGAAAGAAATTAGTGAGAGATGGCCTAGAAAATCGCTTCTAGTGGCCTAGAAATCCAATTTTTCGTTTTGAAAATGGTATGATCGGCTAGAGTAATTCATAAGCTTTAAAATGAGGGTAATTATGGCTCGATCGGCCCATTTTGGAGCAGTGGCCGAATTTTTAAATATCCTGGCCTAGAAAATCGCTTCTGATGGCCTAGAAACGCGACATTTCGTTATGAAAGTTGTATTTTTAGATTCAGCAAGTCAAGAGCTTCAAAATGAGCTAACTCATGACTAGCTTAGTACAAGCTAGACCAGCTTAAACCAGTGGCCGAGTTTCCCGGATTTCTAGGCCATGGGTTCTTTTAAGCTTAATTTCGACGATTTTGGTGTCAAAAGTGGAGAATTCGGTTATGAAAGTTGTATTTTTTAGATTCAACTAGTCAAGAGCTTCAAAATGAGTATAATTATGGCTAGCTTCGCACAGAAACCTAGCTCTGAGAACTTCTGGCCTAGAAACTCGGTTCTGGTGGCCTAGAAATCCAACTTTTCATTTTTAAAATCAAATATTCAGAAAGAGCAAGTCAAGAGCTTCGAAATGAGTATACTCATGACTAGCTTTGCTCAAGTCAGACCAATTTAAACCAGTGGCCGAGTTTTCCGAATTTCTAGGCCATGGGTTGTTTTAGGCCCTTTTTGACAATTTTGGGGTCAAAAAATGCGTAAATTTCATGATTTTAAGTCTATTAAGGTTAATTTTAACGATTTTAGTGTCAAAAAACGCACCTTTTTTCAACAAATTGGCTGCTGACGAGTCGAAACTGTTGCTGAAATTCGAGCTATTCGCTAGCGAAGAATTATTAACGTCAGAAGACGAATTATGGGATGGTGAGGATTCTTGAAGAGAGTTATTGTTGGGTCCACCAGAAGACACTGATGTATTATTCATGCTGTGATTATGAAGAATTGGGAATCCAGATGACGTGGATGGGACCGATGGAGCACAATCGGCTAGGAGGGTTCTCATGTAGTCCACCAGCTTTCGAAGTCCCAAATTTGAGGTGTTCAGGAATTCGAAGACCCAGCTGAAAATGAGATTTTATTAGTGAATCAGGTTGACTTGTATTGGTGGCCTAGAAATTCCAAAAACTCGGCCACTGGCACAAACTCATCGAATCTGAGCAATATTATGCTCGTTTAAAAGCTCATGACTTGCTAATTTTGATTCTATAAAAGTGATGGCCGAGTTTTCTTTTCTTTTGGATTCCTAGGCCACCAGGAGCGATTTTCTAGGCCAGCACTATGTATTTTGGTTCATTTTCAAGCTATTCTAGCTCATTTTTCACCATTTTTAACAATTTTTAGCTCTTTTAACACTCACTCCACACTGTTGGTCCTCAAACTGATCTCAATATGTCTCAAAACACTCGTCGACGTCTCATCCGTCTGGATTTCCTTGTTTTTCAGCGCTTTTTTGAGCATTTTCTTGTCCAAAAAGTAGGAGAGCTTCTCGAGATACTTGGCTGGTGGTGTGACCTGCTTTGCCACTTGCTGGTCGACGATTAGCTTCCATTTCTTATCATTATCATAGCCACGGAGTATTCGGAGCTTATCAACGGGTAGATCCATGTGTTTCTGGAAAAATTAAAGAATTTTTTGGAGTTTTTTCCAATTTTGTCCGCTTAAAACGACCTAGAAATATCCAAAATTCGGTTGGGACCGACTTTTGGTTTTCTAGGCCATCAAATTCAAAATTTTGGGTTTCTAGGTCTTACCAGAACATCATCGAACATCTTATCCAGCTGTTCTTGTGGCGGTTTCGGCGGCATCGCCGCTGGACCCACAATCATTTCTCTGCTAACGATGGCCGATGAAATTCGACGACTCCGGATGCTAGAAGACGTGGAATTTGAGCGGCGGACGTTGAGGGTGGCTGAAAATAGTGAATTTTTGAATTTTGGAGAATTTTTAAGGAGAAAAACGGCCTTCTTTGGCTTTTTAAAGCCAAAAATTGACCCAGAAATGAGGGAAAAAAATTAATTTCAATAAATACCGTAGTCCTTTAAAGGCGCATGCTTAGAAAATTCTTGATGGGTTTCGCAGCGATTTTATTCTTTTGTTGTTTTTAAGCGAAAAATGCCGTTTTTTAGCAATTTTTTAGCAAACTTAAAGTTTTCAATTGTAATTTTTAATTTCTTGAATTTTTTTCATAAAAAATGTTTTTTTTCTGAGCAACAATTGATACAGAAAGTGGATATCAGTCAAAAATAATTATTTTAAAACACCGTAGTCTTTGAAAGGCGCATGTTTAAAACTTGTTTGATGGGTCTCGCAGCAATTCTCTTTATTCACTATTTTTAATCGAAATTTTGCGAAAAAAAAAATTTTTTCAGCAAATTTTCAGACAAATTCAGAATTTGAAAATTTAAAAAAAAAATTCACAATTCCCGTCGTCCCTCTTCTTCTTGTGTTTGACACCAAATGTTCGTCGGAATGGGGTTCGAGTGAAGGATTCTGGAAAAAAACTGTTTTTTTGAAGAATTTGAAGTGGAAAGTTGAGAAAAAACATTCAAAAAAGCCTAAATCATAAGAAAATAGCGAAAAAAAAAATCTAAAAATTCAATTTCCCGCCGGATATCGTAAAAGTTTGGTAGAGCGCATTTTCAGCATTTCTAGAATTTCCGGAATTAAAAAAACGTCACCTAGTCAGAAAATAAGTGGTGAAATTAAAAAGTTTTCGAGCAAACAACACAGATGACACTTTCTATTATTTTCCCTCTTATTTTCTCTGCGTCTCTTTCTCTCTCTCTCTCTCTCTCTCTCTCTCTCTCTCTCTCTCTCTCTCTCTCTCTCTCTCTCTCTCTCTAAACTTTTTCAATGAGTCACACAGACAGGTAGAGACATATTTTTGTAAGAATCGGATGTTTTTTTCTTTCAAACAGGTGAATCACCAGGTCAGTTGACTGGTTTCATCACATAGATTTACCTGGAAGGTTTCAACATTTTTCAAAAATCAAAACATTGAAAAATTTCAAAAAAAATTTCCATTTTTTAAACAATTTTCTGGCCTAACTTTTCCTTTAAAACTTGAAAAAAAAACTTTTAAAAAGTTGATTTCTGATGACCTAGGAGGTGTGATGCCAATTGGATGATGGTCATCCAAGTTATACATAAAACTAGAGAGATTGAGAGATTTAGAGAAAGAGAGAGAGAGACAAAAAGAAGAAGATGGATTGTTCGCGGGGATTAAACTAGTCTATTGGTGGTATATTCGGATGGGGTGGGAAGGGACATTTGAACCGAACAGCTGGTTAGCAGCAGCAGCAGAAGCCAGATTCAAAGAAGAGGGGGGAATTGTTGATGATATATCTGCTGGCACTTTTGCGGGGTGGGGTTAATATGGTTGTTATGGGGGAGCCTAGCCTATTAAATACTGCTTTTTTTTAAAACTAGACGCACAAAAAACATCGAGAAGTGTCCTAGTAAATACTGTAACATAGTTACCACCGATTTTTCAACTTTGAGCTCTTATATCTCGTTTCCTGTAGAAGATATCAAAATTTTGTCAACTAACAAAATGTTTTTCATAAATTCAGCAATATTTTATCAGTTGACCACTTTTTGATATCTTTTGCAGGAAATAAAATAAATGAGTTCAAAGTTGACCAGTCGGCGCTTGCTGGCTGAGCTAGCTACCTTTCTCACTGTTTGGAGCCAATTTATCTCATATCCTAGGAAAGATCTCAAAATTTTGTCAACTGATAAAATGTTTATCATAAATTCAACAATATTTTATCAATGCACCACTTTTTTATATCTTCTACGGGAAATGAGATATATGGGCACCAAGTTGACACGGTTCGGGAAGGGGATCAGGGTATACGGTAGCTCTAAGCTTTCTTGTTTAGCTCGAGGTTGAAGTTTGAAGCTGGAAAGCCTTGACTAGACTTGAATTTGGTTCAGATATAATCAACATTTGTTTATAAATCAATCTATGTGACTTTCAAAAATGTTGAGTACGATAAACAATTTCAAAAAGGAGATTCCGATGAAGTTACTTTAGTACTAGTCAACCGTCAACATTTAGCCCAAACATCTCATTTCCTGTGAAAGATATCAAAAAGTGGTCAACAGATAAAATATTTATACTTTTGTAATAAACATTTTGTTAGTTGATTACTTTTTGATATCTTTCACAGGAAATGAGATAAATTGGCTCAAAGTTAACAAGTCGGCACTTGCAACAGAGCTACGCTGTCGGCTAGGCAGCCTCTCAACTTTGAGTTAATTTATCTCTCTTTCTATAAAAGGTATCAAGAAGTGGTCAACTGATAAATTGTTTATCAAAATATCAGTAACATTTTATTCGTTGACAACTTTTTAGTATCTTTCAAAGGAAATGAGATACATGGGCTCAAAAATGACAGTTTGAGATGAGACCTATGTAATGCTTGGAGCCTATCTTCTAGGCCAAGTTCCTTAATGCAAAATTTAATATTGCAGTTCCTGGATCCTGGAACCTGAAATTTGTATTTGACTAGATTACGATTCTGTAGAATGAGCAATTATATCGAAACCACCATAAATCTCGCCGGAGACAAAGTGTCCCTCTCTCTCCCTAATTAACGGGAAATGTTCCCGCTATTAACTATAGTAGTTGCACTAGTAGTACTAGGGAGAACAACAGAAACACATATAAATTAAAGATTAAATTGAATGGAAGAGAGAGAGAGAGAGAGAGAGAGAGAGAGAGAGAGAGAGAGAGAGAGAGAGAGAGAGAGAGAGAGAGAGAGAGAGAGAAAGGGGTAATGATGATGAAAAGCGACAGAACGGACGACATGAAAAAGAGCGTTAAACATTCAAGCGTGTCGTCTCTTCGTCTGTATAGAATGAACTTTTATGACGATGTGCAGCACAAAAACTCGGTCAGGCATGTAAAAAAGTTGAATAGAAGAAGGAGAAAGAGACAAAGTTTTGTGGGAACACCAGGTTTTCAACTTTTTGCCACATATGCTAAAATTTTAGCCTGAAACATAACATTAAAAATGACCTAAAATAACAATTATTCTCCCCTAAAGGTTGGTGTCAAAAAAGTTGCTTTTCTTTAGCTCTAATTATCTCAATTACCATTAAAGATACAGTAATTTTAAAAACCAATAAGATATTTCCCATGAAATTCTACACATTTCACTAGTTGACAACTTTTTTGTATTTTTTCTGGTTTTTGAGTTATGCGCCTTTAAAAATAGGTGGACTCGAAGCGCCTTCTCGCCTCTGCGCCACGCCTAGAGGTACTCTATTTTTAAAGGCGCATATCTCAAACACCGTAAAAGTTACAAAAAAGTTATCAACTAGTAAAATGCGTAAAATTAAATTTTATAAATTTTACTTGTTGACTACTTTGTTCTAACTATTTTAGGAATTGAGATAACTAAGCTCAAAGTGAGCACTCTCCCTTTCTTTGGCTGTCGCATTTTTGGGGTGAAAAGGCCTTAAAACTTATATTTTTAAATATTCCAAAGAAGAAAAATAGGCTCCAAAATATTTCGAATCAATCTATATAATTTTCGGACCAATTAGTCTAGCGTAAAGTTGCCAAAAATGGAAATTGAAGTCGCCTTGCTTTACAATAGTTATCTCAGTTTCTAAAAAATAGACAATAACAAAATAAATTCGAAAAATGTTGTAAATTTAATTATATACATTTTGTTAGTTGACAACTTTTCTGTATCTTTGCTACAAATGGAGATAATCAAGCTCAAAGTGGCCACTCTCCCTTTCCTTGGCTATTGCGCTTTCAGCGCGCTCTGGGTCAGTTTAGCTCACTTTTTCGGGGTAAAAACGTCCTAAAATGACAATTTTTGAGGTTTTCAAAAAAGAAAAACAGTCTTCAGAAAATTTCCAATCGATCTATATAACTTTTTAAAAAATTGACCAACGATGAAGTTTAAAAAAACAAAATTTCAGATATCACCGCTTTAAGTCTAGTTATCTCAGGCCCTAAAATACTTAAAATTAAAATTCAAACTGTTAAAACATAGAAAATCAAATTTTACACATTCTACTAGTTGATAACTGTTTTGTAGCTTTTCTGGTTTTTGAGCTACGCGCCTTTAAAAATAGGGCACCTCAGGGCGCGCAAAAGAGGGGGAGAGCACCTCATGGTTAAAGGCGCATATCTCAAAAACCGTGGAAGTTACAAAAAAGTTATCAACTAGTAAAATATGTAAAATGAAATGTTATAAATTTTCATAATTAATTACTTTTTGGTAGCTATTCTAGGAATTGAGATAATTGCAATTAAAGATTTTGAGCAATACAAAAAAAGGGAAAATAAGAATAAAAATGATGGGTGGAAAATGTGTGGTGGTGGTGAAATGTGTCGTGGAATGTGTATATAAAACATTGGTGTCTCCGGAAAAGAAGAAAAAGAAAAAGAAGAAGGAGAAGCCCCCCCCCCCCCTCTCAACGGCTTCTTCTTCTTCTTCTTCTCGGGAAGCGGCGAGAGAGTGTAGGAAACTAAGAGGGTCCTAGGCGGCGCGAATTTCTGAATCTCTCGGTTTCCTTTAGAAACCAACTTGTTTTTGAGGAGGCTAAAAATTTGCCTCCAGGGATTTTAGGCATTTTTTTGTTCAAAAAATTATTTTTTTTTCAAAAATTTCAAGCAAAAATTTCAAGAGTAAAATAAACAAATTTAATGTTTACATATATAATTTTTCTATGGAAACTTCCGGAAATTCGAATTTCCCATGCCAATTTCACATATAACGGGATACAAATGACCTAGAAATTCGACACGGATTTTAGATTTTTTTTTTTTTGGAAAATTATGGGGTGTAATAATTGGGAAAATGTACTACATGTTTCTGAATAAATAGTTTCCGTACTATCTGTACAGTTTATACTCCAGGAACACAAAACGAAGGAAAGCAATGACATGAGGTGGAAAATGGAATGGGTGTGGATTTCTTATGGGAGAGATGACCTGGATTTTGGGAGGATTCTAGATTTTTTTGATTAGGAGAGGGAATGTTCAAAAAAAAAAGAATATTTAGATGACGTTACTTTAAGCCTGGTTATCTCAGTTGCCTTTGAAGATACAATAATTTTGTAAGCTGGTAAAATATTTGTCATAAAATTTTACACATTTCATTAGTGGACAACTTCTTCGTAGCTTTTTTGGTTTTTGAGATCTGCGCCTTTAAATTCGAGGGGCCTTTTAGTGCCCTCCGCCTTCTTACGGGTGCCGCGCCTAGAGGCACCTTATTTTTAAAGGCGCATAACACAAAAACCAAAAAATTTACAAAAGAGTGGTTAACTAGAAAAATGTGTCAAATTTACTTTTACACATTTTATTAGGTAATAACTTTTTTGTAGCTTTTTTGGTTTTTGAGATATGCGCCTTTAAAAATAAGGTGCCTCTAGGCGCCCCTCCGTTTTTTCGGGCGCCGCGCTTATGTAAAGACGCATATCTCAAAAACCAGAAGAGCTACAAAAAAGTTATCAATTACAAAAATGAAGCTCTATTCTTTTTTAGTATATATAACAACATTTTGGACCCTTACCGTACCTTTTGACCGTAAACGTTTTTGTGGAAAAATTAGGTCCAAAGATTTTTAACGAATTTTTGAGAATTTTCAGTTTCAAAAATTTTCCAATCTCAAATGTTTAAAAACTTGTAAATTTTCCTAAGGACCAAAACACCCAACTAGAGAGCCATAACATCAAAGAAGGGACTTAAAAGAGGGGGGCTTAAGTAATCCGATTGCCTTTTTATAAACAAAGAGAAATAAGAGGCGGACCAATAATAACAAGGGAAATTGGACACTCTTTTCTCCCCAAAAGTCACCCCACCGTCTGTTTCCTGTGTGTGTGTGTGAAATATATTGAGATTAAGCGGTATACTATCCCATATGGTTTTCAGGGTGACAGGATTCATTTCAAACATATGGTGTCAAGGTTCTTCGATGAATTAGGAAGCTTCTAAACGACCGGAAATTGAGAAAAATTTATAAATCACACTAAACAAGACTAGAGCTTCATTTTTGCAGTTGACTACTTTTTTGTAGCTCTTTTGGTTTTTGAGTGCGCCTTTAAAGATAAGGTACCTCTGGGCGAGGCGCCCGGAAGAGGGGAGAGGGCACCTCATTGTTAAAGGCGCATAGCTCAAAAACCGTGTTAGCAAGGGTCCAGAAATTTGCGCCGTAAACTAAAAAAGGCTAGAGCTTCATTTTTGTAATTGACAACTTTTTTGTAACTTTTCTGGTTTTTGAGCTATGGGCCTTTAAAGTTGGCGCGCCTCTCTTTCAGGCGCCATTGCCTCAGTGCCCATAATCTTTAAAGGCGCATAACTCAAAAACCAAAAGTGCTATAAGAAAGTTGTCAACTACAAAAATAAAGCTCTAGTCTTGCTTAGTACACATTAAACTGTTTAGACCCTCCTCTATACCACCGACCGTATAAGAACGCTTGAAGAATTACCGGAAAGTTTTAAAATTCCAAAATCCAAAACTTAAAAAAGGAAAAAATCCGAAAAAACGAGAACAAAATGCGCTTTTTCCCATAGTGGGGGGATAAACATCAAACAAAGCCTAATCCGAATTTCAATTGAGCTTAGGGGGGGCTTAGAGATAGAGAGACGCAGAGAAACAGAGAACCGTTTTCCCCTTCTCCAAACAAGGAAAAAAACGGCTTTTGTCTTTTGGAAAATGCACACACAATGCTTTACGGATCACATTTATCCTGTCCAGACAAAAAAATTTTGGTCGGAGGAAAATATAAAAAATCACAAGTACCTCACTAAAAAACCTTGAAAACGATACTTGTTGGGTCAATCTCTATGAAGTAAAAGACGGGTAAATGGCAGCATTTGTATCTTTTCTCTCTTGTTTCTCTGCGTCTCTTCATATCCTACACTCTCTCATTTACTCTCTAATGACTACATACTGTGTTGACCGCTACTTGTGTGACCTTTTTCTTTTTCTTTTTCTTCCTTCTCTTCTGTGACGCAACAATGTGTGAGAAAAAAAAAAGAGAGGAACAGAGGATTAGGAACCATTAATTACGGTCAGTGGCCCGCGGTCAGTGGTGAAGGTTCGGGTTCAAGAATGTGTCATTTATACTAAACCAGGCTAAAGCTTCATTGTTGTAATTGACAACTTTTTTGTAGCTCTTCTGGTTTTTGAGATATGCGTCTTTACATAGGCGCGGCGCCCGAAAAAAGGGAGGGGCGCTTAGAGGCACCCAACCTTTAAAGGCGTATAGCTCAAAAACCAAAAGACCTACAAAAACGTTTAAACTGCAAAAATGTGTGAAATTCAATTTTGCACAAATTCATAACTGTTAAATGTTCAGTAGCTATTTTGGTTTTTGAGCTACGTGTCTTTAAAAATAGGATACCTCTAGGCGCGACGCCCGAAAAAGAGGGAGGGCGTCTAGAGGCACCCTATCTTTAAAGGCGCATAGCTCAAAAACTAGAAGAGCAACAAAAAAGTTGTCAACAGCAAAAATGAAGCTCTAGTTGCGTTTAATATACGTATCTATTTTTTTTAAACTTTATCTATCACGGTTTTTGAGTTATGCGTCTTTAAAAACGGCGCTCCTTTCGGCTTGGCGCCCATCAGAGAGGGAAAGCGCTTCGAAGGCGCTTATCTCCAAAGAAACCTATAAGAATTTTATATCATTTTGAAGCGTTTCTCTAGATCCAAATTTTACAAGCTATACATTCTGAAATTTTCAAGTCTCTAACAAGTTATAAGATTTATAAAATTGAGACTCGCAAAACACATGCCATGTGATACATAAAGCCGTAAAAGAACATAAAATTCTAGTGTAACGGAAACGAAATTAAATATATTTCTGTCTGTGTAGGGGCATCGCAAAAGAAAGGAGAGAAATAGAAGAATTGAAATCAAATAAAATGTGTAAATGTTATAAAATGTTTTACCACTATTTTCATGTTACTACAGCTTGGGTTTGGTTACTTACTTTGTCTAGATTACGGTTAGTGAGTACAATAAGGGTCCAAAAAGTAGTGATATTTATTAAACAAGACTAGAGCTTCATTTTTGTAGTTGACAACTTTTTTCTAGCTTTTTTGGTTTTTGAGTTATGCTTCTTTAAAGGTAGGGTCCCTCTTAGCGCGGCGCCCGAAAGAGGGGAGAGAGGGTACCCTATATTTAAAGGCACATAGCTCAAGAACCAGAAAAGCTAAAAAGCAGTATTTTAGATCACTTTGAAGCTTTTTTTATGATCTACAATTTGCAATTTGAATCATAAGAAAATATCTAGAACTCACCATGTTGAAGCTCTTCATTCCTGCATAGCTCCTCTGGTATGGATGGTGGTTTTGATGGGAGTTCACTGGAGTCTTCCATGACTGAAAACCACTAAAATTTTGATATTTCGAACTAAAAATGGCATAAATACTGAAGAATAATACATTCAAAAACCAAATAAGAAGAATGAAAGGATGAGCAATTCTCAAACATTCCAAACCACCATTACATTTTGATACATTTTGAACATTTTGGGTCATAAAAATGACCAATAAATATTTGGAAATGTATAGAAAAGATATAGAGAGAAGGAGGAAATTGGGATTTCTTGAAATTTAGAGGCTTAGAAAAAAAAGTATAAAAAAGGCTTCTGGAATTTTTTCTAGCAGACAAACATAATTTTTTTAGGAAGTCTGAAAGCTGGATTCCTTAAAATTGTATTTTTTAATTTCTTGAATTTTAGAAATTTCTAGAAAGTTTTCAGCCTTTCTGAAAATTTAGATTGTTTGCATTTTTTTTCAATTTTCGGAATTTTTTCAAATAATTTTCAGAATTCTTTGGAATTTGAAACTTTTTGAAGCATTTTTGGCTTCTCTAGAGTTTTAGAACAAAAGTAAATAGTAAATTTTTTGGGATTTTTTTACAAAAATGTTCGAAAATTTCCCTTTTTTTTTGGAAAAGACAAATATTTATTAAAATTTTAGGAAAAAGAAGAGAGCTAAAAATAAATTAAGCTAAAAATCTCAAATTTTTAAGTTAGAATTCTTGAAAAAATGTCAAAAAACAACAACAAATTTTATTTTTATTTCAATTTCAGACAAGGAAAACAAGGAAATTATATTTTTTTACGAATTCTGAAAATTTCAGATTTTTTTTTGAAAAATATTGAATTTGCTTAAAAATTCAAAATGTTCATAATTTCAAAAGTTTCTAAGATTCTAAAATTTCAGAAATTCAGAAATTCAGAGATTCAGAAATTCAGAAATTCAGAAATTCAGAGATTCAGAAATTCAGAAATTCAGAAATTCAGAAATTCAGAAATTCAGAAATTCAGAAACTCAGAAATTCAGAAATTCAGAAATTCAGAAATTCAGAAATTCAGAAATTCAAAAATTCAGAGATTCAGAAATTCAGAAATTCAAAAATTCAGAAATTCAGAAATTCAGAAATTCAGAAATTCATAAATTCAGAAATTCATAAATTCAAAAATTCAGAAATTCAGAAATTCAGGAATTCAGAAATTCAGAAATTCATAAATTCAGAAATTCATAAATTCAAAAATTCAGAAATTCAGAAATTCAGGAATTCAGAAATTCAGAAATTCAGAAATTCAAAAATTCAGAAATTCAGAAATTCATAAATTCAGAAATTCATAAATTCAGAAATTCATAAATTCAAAAATTCAGAAATTCAGAAATTCAGAAATTCAGAAATTCAGAAATTCATAAATTCAGAAATTCATAAATTCAAAAATTCAGAAATTCAGAAATTCAGGAATTCAGAAATTCAGAAATTCAGAAATTCAAAAATTCAGAGATTCAGAAATTCAGAAATTCAGAAATTCTAATCGAGAATTTAGTATATCTGAAATTTCGAAAAGTTTGAAGTTTTTAGAAAAATCGAAGTATCAGAAAATTCGAAAAATCTCAAATTCCAGACTTCCTGAAGTTTCCTGTATATCTGGAAATCTAGAAAAAATTCCAGGAATCTCAAAAAACATCATTTTTAATGGAAAAATGGCTCCATTTGCTCCGAACGAAGAGAAAAAGAGACGCAGAGAAAAATGGAAAAATCGTTGAGAGGGGAAATCTGAATGAACACGAAAAAGAGTTTATTTGAACTGCAAACTTTTTGTCTGTGTTGTAGTTGAGGTTGAAAAGAAAATAATCTGCTGGTCGTTCTCTTTTTTTAGAACGAGAAATAGTGTATGAAATCGAGAGAGTGGTTAGAGAAGAGCATTTTTTAGTGATAAAAGCGGTCAAATGGGGGTGATGACTCTCCGATAAAAGAGGAGAAAATGAATAAATATGCATGTTTACAATGTTGACATAGTTTCCTTTTTGTTTATGCCTCTTTTGGCGGTGAGTTTAGATAGGGAACTGGTAATTATCAGACACTTATTAGTGAATAACTCAAGTTCTAATAAAGATATCAAAAAGTTCTCAACTAGTAAAATGTAGGAAATTTAATTTTACACATTTTACTAATTGACAGCATTTTTGTAACTTTTGTGGTTATTGAGCTATGCGCCTTTAAAATAGGGGTACGTCTCCCCTCTTCCGAGACTAGAGGCACCCTATTTTTAAAGGCGCATATCTCAAAAACCAAAAGAGTCACTCAAAAGTTGTAATAAAATGTGTAAAATTTAATTCTGCACATTTTACTGATTAACAAAACAATTTTAGCTACTGTAGTTTTTGAGCTATGCGTCTTTAAAGTTGGCCTACCATTCCTGAGGCGCTCCTCCTAGGAGGGTGGGCGCAGGAGGAAGGGGCGCCGGGGGAGGTCAACTTTAAAGGCGCATATCTCCGAAACCAAGAAAGTTACAAAAAAGTTGTCAACAAGTAAAATAAGTAAAATAAAATTTCCAACATTTTTTTAGTTGGCACCTTTTTTGTAACTATATTGTGAATCGAGATAATTAGGGTCAAATGGGGGATTCTAAGAAAGCTACAATTCTGTAAATGGGAAGAGGGGAGGAGGTGCTTAAAAAAGGATAATTGAAACACTTTAATAATTATTAGCTTGAAAAGGATACACATGGCTAGAAACTCCGCCCACTTTCTTCTAGGAAGCTCCGCCCACTTTCTGGAGTTTAAAGGGCAATAAAAGGATAAGGAGTTTCCTAAATTTCCAGAATTATCCCGTATTTCCTGACTACAAAAAATATAAAAACCACCTATCTCCAAGAGAAGGAAAAAAAGAACCAAAATGCATGCACCTTTTTTTCATTCTTTAACCCATAATTTTGCACCAGAGCTGCCCCTGCTTCTGGGGTCCCATATAACATCTATATACTTCCTTTTTTTGAGAAAAAAAAATAAGAAAAAAGTATATAGAATCCTAAAAAATATAAAAATATAGAATAAAATTCTAGAAGAGTCTTTTGGAATATTGGAAATTAAAAAATGAACGCCTGACAAGACTTCTAGGGAACCAACCAAAAAATAGACTCAACTACTGTACCCATCCAACTTTGAGCTAATTTATCTCATTCCTGTTGAAGATATCAAAAAGTGCTCAACTGATAAAATGTTACCCGTATTATGATAAGTAATTTATCAGTTAACTACTTTGTGATATCTTTTACAGTAACCAAGATATATTGCTAGACAGCTTCGGGACATTAGATAGGTTCCCAAACCAGTTTCCATTATATCAATAATCACTTTTGTTTCAAATTTCTTGATTTCTTTTTTTTTTGCAACAAAAAGTACACCTAACTGGTCACACTCTCCCCCACCCCATCTCTCTTTGTTCTTATTTTCTCGATATCACAAAATTCGCCTAACTATTTTCACCCAACTTCCTCTTCTCCGAGAGACACGTGACTCTTCTAGAAGACGTTTTTCTTCGATTTGGATGTCTCTGAAATTTCTGATTCTTATAATATTGATCTGTATTCTGATAGAAGTTGTTGGCCCACATCCAGTCGGTTTTCATAGCTTGAATAATCCATTCACACATCCGTTGAGGTAACCCAATCTTTAAAAGCGCGTATCTCAACTTCTAGGGTAGATGTCAAAAAGTCGTCAACTAGTAGAATGTCTAAAATTAAATTTCCAATATTTTACTAGTTATTTACTTTATGATATCTTTCCTAGAAATTGAGATAATTAAGGTCAAAGCAGCTCCAACCTCTGGGCGCGGCGTCCGAAAGAGGGGGAGGGCGCTTAGAGGCGCTCTTTTTTAAAGGCGCATAGCTCGAAAACTATGAAAGAAAAAAAATTGTTTAACCAGGCAAATGTGCAAAATTTTATTTCATACATTTTGTCAGTTTCTCACTTTTTTGTAGCTATCTTGGTTTTTGAGTTATGTGTCGTTAAAAATAGAGAGCCTTTAGGCGCGGCGCCCGGAAGAAAGGGGAAGGCAGGCACCAATTTTTTAAGGCGCATAGCTCAAAAACCAAAAAAGCTAGAAAAAAGTTGTCAATCAGCAAAATGTGTAAAATTTAATTCTACACATTGTCCATGTTGATAACTTTTTGATATCTTCTTCAGGAATCGAGATATTTAGGTCCATAGTTACAAATTTACGGTAGAAAAGTGTTCCCTTCTCCAGGCCTCATAACTTGTTTCAAGTTAAAAATTAGAAAAATTTTATTATGAAAATCGAATTTTCAAAGAAATTTCAGTCTAGGAGCAAAACTCCAACCTTTTTTAATTCCAGAATTCGATAAAAATCCGAATTTTCGAAATTTCTGTGCTAAACAAAGTTTCATCCCTCATAACTGCCTCTAAATATGAATTCTGCAAATTTTATATGCATTTTTAAAGGTTTTAAAACGCAACATAAGCTTTAAACCATTAAAAAACATTTTGAAAACCGTTAAAATAGCACATTTTCGAAAATCTGGGCATTTGGCTCAGTGGATTTCTCAACTACCAATCTGACGACCCGGGTTCGATTCCTCTCGGTGGCAAAGTTTTTTAAATACTTTTTTGGATCATTTTTAGACCATTCTAGAACATTCTAGAGCTAAAAATTTGGAAATTTCAGACAAACAATTTTTAAAGCCAAAATTTTTTTTTGCAGATGCGCCGAAAACAACTCCACCTTGTCAAATTGCTTGATTTCGAACTCTGAAAATGCTGAAAACCTTATCATTGTCTTCTTGCCCTTTTTGTTTTCAATTTTCTTCTTTTAGCCGGTAATGTTTTAGTCCTTGGCCCGGAAATTTCGAATTTAGCAAACAAATTTCGCAATTTAAAGTTTGAAAATTATAAAAACTAGTTTTCTCTGTTTTTTGAGTATAAAAAGTTGTCCCAATACATGTATTTTATGTCTGAAAATGCTGAAATTCGTCTTTTCTCTCTTTCTGATTTCTCTAATTCTCCTCGCTGGCGTACTCTCTCGCCCTCAACTTCCCCCGCCACCTCCGAAGCCGTTGATCGGCGGATTCTGGAATCCCGAACAAGGACCGTTCGGGGCAGTTAATGACTCTTGAACATAAAATTTTGAATTTTGAATAAATCATTTTTTATTAAAAAAATTTTTTTTATTGTTTAATTCTTGATTTTTCAATTTTTCAACTCAAATTCAATTCGAATACAAAAACCGGTCCAAATAGAAGTAATTTATCTTCGAAAAAAGAAAAAAAAATCAGGACTACAAAGCACAAACTACAAACTACAGTTTACCAGTCTTCATTATCTGCAACTTCTCTCTCGACAGTCGAGAACACTCTCTCCCAGTCTGGAATGAATGGCGACCAACTTTTCGAGCTTCTCTCCATTACGATAATGTTGAAAATCTGGAAAAAATGGTTAATTTTTAGATTTCTCCGCTTTTTTTGATTTTCAGGATTTACTGTTTCCCTCGCCTGAGAAGTGGAGAGGCGCCCTCTGCGCCCCCACCATTTAACCGCGTTCCCCTCCTAGCTCTCAAGTTGCAGCCGTGGTGTTGGGGATGTGGTGTGCGCAAGTGTGCGGAAAGGCTTTGGTTCGATTCCTCTTCCGGTTTTGTCTTTTTTGAAACCTTTTACAATGTTCTATGTCTTCAACACCCTTCAAATTTCAAGAAAGTAATACATACCGCCCGTTTTGGTCCATTAAAATGAACACATCCTCTCTCCTGAATCGTATACGCATTGACTTCAAATCTCGAGCAATTTGAGGTTCCCGCCAGCACTCGAATATCATATTGCATGCCAGACACAATTTGACCGTAACCCGAAATCACTTTCAGCGGAACCCACATGTACTCGCTCTCGATTCGTTGATTGATATCTGATTGGAATGCGTTCCATACGAGACGCTAGGAGCAGAGGGGATTACTGTAGTTTTTGGGGATTACTGTACCGTTGTTAATTTGGAATTTGTGTCTAGGGGTCCTTCTCTAAATGTTTCTCCATCATCTGGAACATCGGACAGCTTTTGCATCACTTGGAAGGGAGAAATCGATCGCTGAGTGATAGGGGAACGGATCAGCTGGAAAATTCACCCTTAGCTTTGAGTCAATTTATCTCATTTCTTATAAAAGATATCAAAAAGTGCTCTATTGATAAAATGTAACTGATATTGAAATAAACATTTTGTTAGTTGACCGCTTCTCAATATCTTTCACAGGAAATGAGATAATTGAGCTCAAAGTTAAAAGTTAGGGAAATGGTATTTATATGGTATTTATATATAGTATTTTTTTTGTTTTCAAATTAACATAAAATCAATAAATCAGATGTATAACTGTGTAAAATTTGATTTTCTATCGTTTGGTATACTTTTCAGAGCGTTAGGGTAAAAATGAACAAAGTTATGGCTAAAAAACCATTCTAAAGCCTAAAAATTTGAATTTTGAAATTTTTCGAAAAATTCAAATATTATTTACTTGATAAAAAAATATTTTCAGATGTAAAATTTGATTTCCTATCGATTGGTATACTTATCAAAGCTCTAGGATCGATATGAACCAAGTTATGAGCCAAGTACCAGAGCAAAAAATATTTTTAACTTTTTCGAAAATTTAGATTTTTGAGATTTTTGAGAAAATACATTTTCTAGATGTAAAATTCAATTTTCAATTGATTGGCATACTTTTCAAAGCGATTTGATAAATCTGAACAAAGTTATGAGCAAGATACCCATCTTTAGCTCACAAAACGGACTTTTGAATTATTGGATTTATGAATTTTCAAAAAACATTTCACAGCGTTTTTTGGAAAAGAAGCCACTTTCTAGATGTAACATTTAATTTGCAATCGATTGGTATAGTTTTCAAATCGTTAGGGTGAAATTGAACCAAGTTATGGTCATAAAACCCATCATAGCCTACAAAAAAAGAACATTACATTTTAAAAAATTTCCAAAAATTTTAGAAATTTTAGAAAATGTTTTCTATATGTAAAATTTGATTTCCAAACGATTGGTATATTTTTCAAAGCTCCAAAATTCATATGAACCGAGTTATGACTTACAAAACGATTGGAAACCGGAATAACCATGTCGTTCGATCGTAATGGTGGTAGACCAACTGTCATTTGAGATCCAGCCAAAATAACGAAAGATGAGCAATAGATGAACCAAGTTAAGAGAACCATTTCTGGAAATTTTAAGCTGAAATTTTTGAAAACAAAAATTTTCAAAACAATTTTTTTATTTCAAAAAATTCCAGAATAAAGTCCCAATCAAGCCTAGTTACAACTAATTGAAACATAATTTCTCAGTCATTTTATACCCAATTTTATGTCCTTGGAAGTCCACAAAATGACCATTTTTTTGGGAAAAATTGGGACATAAAGATTGAAATTTGAGATAATTATCGGAACAGGACTAATTAAGTGTGATTGACAGGAGGAAATTTTTCAGATTAACAAAAAAAATTAAAAGATTTTACACAGATTTACAGATTTTATTACAGCTGAAAATGTATGGGAAATTTTGAAAAAATTGAAAAAGATTGAAAAAAAAAATTTTTGGATTTGGTCACTTTTGAATTGCCTTTGTCTCCATCACCTTCCCTAAGTACTGTCCCTTTTTATGTACTTTTTCTTTTCCGAATTACACTAAGAAACTGTAATTATTACAACAAAATTCTCTTTTCAAGAGGTTTTAATTTTTTTCTTGGAAAAAAAGAAGAAAATATTACGGTCTTCTTTGTTGGAGAGAAAAGTGTGACCAGTGGTGACCTAAAAAAAGCAAAAAAAAAACTGGGAATTTTGAACCGGGAGGGTCTGAAAGTTTGCTCTATTGAGAATTTACCTTAAATAAGCGAATTTAGCTTTTTCTTGCAGAAAGAAGTTTTAGCTGTTTTCTAGGCTTTTTTTAGATTGTCTCATTGCGAAGATTATTTTTTATCGTCCTGTTCATGTGATTTTTTCTTTGTTCGAGTCATTTTTTACAATTTTCCCTTCTGAAAAACCCCTAATTTAAACTTCGCGCTTCTTTGAATTATATACACCGCGAGTGGTGTATTGCACACTTTGCATTTTATCTTACGACACCAAAAATCTCAACGAATTATTTTATTTATTTTTTCCCCTCTCTTTCGTTGTTTCAAGCTTTTTTCAGCCAATTTTTTTGAAATTATGTCAAAATTCGTTTTTCTAGCTATTTTTTGACACTGAAACGGATAATTTTCGTTGCGAATCGACCTAGATTTTCGATTTTTTAGGTAGTCTAATTTTTCAAAAAAAAGGTTTTTTTGATTTCAGCAATTCATACGACGGGTTACACTATATCGATATCAAGAAATGTCGGATGATGAGGTGAAGAACGTCGAAACCGACGAGAATCAAGAGAAAACCACCAGGAACGAGGTTTGCAATCTTTTATATATATTTTTCTGAAAATTTAAAAATTCAGGAGGATGATCTCAAAGAAGAAGGTCGTCGCTTCCAGGGAGCTGTCAATGATCCGAGTCTTCGAGTCCACGGAATGTCTTATACTGCTCTTTCGAAGATTCTAGAGCGTGTAGAGGAAGTTCCAGCTCCATTCGTCAAGGGGCTCGTTAAGATGAGTGTCAGCAGCTCGATTCGCTTGTATGGACAGCCGAAATCGTTTCAGGTGAGAAAATTCTGAAAAAATCTGAAAAATTTGAAAAATTCCTGTGGCATTACTTTCAGAAACTCAGTGAACTCAAAATTGGTCTTTTTCAGACATTTTTCCACTGATAAATGCTAAAAATCATTAATTTTCATGTAAATTTGCTCAGAATCAAGCTAAAATTGAAGATAACTTATGCAAACTTTCGAAATTTTTGGCTCCAATTAGAAGCTCGGAACTTTGAATTTTTGGGATTTTCTAGAAATTAAAACCTAAAAATCCCAATTTTCAGCACGTCCACCGTCTCCTTCGCGTCCTTGCCATGCGTGATTACAGTACCACCCTGAAGACCCTCCTCCAAACCATTCAATCTGCTCTCCCACTGGCTTCCAACCTCTCCGAGTCCAAATCTTTATCTCAAGTCCCTACTGCCAAATGGCTTGTGGACATTTTGGCTTCTGGAACAGCCGAAATCCTTCAAGAAAATTCCCTAGAAATCGTTGGAGCCCTTGGAACTATCTCCTACTGGATGAGTGGAAGCGATAAGGCTTGGAAGATCTTCACCAAGAAATTCGCAAGGATTCTAACCCAATTATTGCCGATTCTAGAGTCTAAAATTGTCGAATTCTCTAAGGAAAACCCAGAAAAGGCGTTGGCCCTCATTGCGGCAATGGGAACATCCTCAACATCCTCAAAATCTGAAGCTCTCCTTCAAAATTTCACTGATCTACTATCTAAAACTTTTTTGCTGGCTAAACTCCGCCCACCACAATTCCTAGTGGATCGCTCTTCAAAAATCGTCAAATTCCTTCAAGAAAAGCCACATTTCACCGAGAATCTTCTCCCCAACATCAAAAAAGCCCTCCTGCGTTCCCCTGAAATCTCCATCTTCGGAATTCAGGGAATCATTGAAAACGTGGATTTCCCTCTGGACGCTTGTGCACAAGATTTGCTCAAATCTACAGTATCCGCTCTCTCCAACGCGGACTCTGGCATCAGAGAAGCGGCAATTGGAGTGGCAGTGGCGTTGACGAGAAAATCTGGGCTCCCGGTGATTCAGAAGATTCTGAATACCCTTTTCGATCAATTCTCTGCTGCCAAGGCTCCAGAAGTGAAGATTTCATTGATGGAGGGAATTGGAAGAGTTGCTGGAACTGTCGAGCTGGCTGAAATCGATAAACTGTGTGATGAGGTTCTGGGAAAGACGGCGAAGGCTGATAAGGAGTGTAAGTTTTAGATATAACGCATTTTTAGTTGATTTTTGACTATTTTTACTTTTTTGAGTCTAGAGCTTGGCTGCCAAGCTCCAGACTCCTGAAAATAGTCTGAAAACGGTACTGTAATTCAAAAAATTCATCTAAAAATAGCCATTTCCAGGTTTAATTGACCCTTTTACGGCAAACATTCGACTTAAAGTTAGCATATTTCGAATAATTTTAGCTCAAAATAGCATATTTAGTGCTGAAAATGGGTAAAAATCTGTCTGAAATTGGTTCCATTGGACCGTTTTCGACAATACTGACAATTGACGGAATGTCAGCATAAATCGCCTCTTTTCACGGATTTTCGACTTGAAAATAGCAATTTTGACTAATTTTAGCTTAAAATTCAGAAAATTTTAGCCCAAAACGACCTTTTTAGGACGAAAATTCGACTTAAAATTAGCAATTTTTGACTAATTTTAGCTTAAAATAGACTCTTTTTATGACAGAAATTCGGCATGCAAATTGCGATTTTCGAATAATTTTAGTTAAAAATTGACAACATTTTAGCCCAAATCGACCTTTTTAGGACGAAAATTCGACACAAAATTAGCAAAAAAAAAGCCGAATCAACTAAAACCAGTACTGTAATTCAAAAAAAAATCCATCCAAAACCCCAAATTTGCAGCCCACGACGGAACTATTGAGTCTCAATGGAATGCTGCTGTCGAGTGGGCAGTTCGTCTCTCGAAACCATCCGCAGCACTGACAACCGCATTCAAAGAGGCATCAAAATTACAGCCAGCAGTGAAATATATTGCCTATAGAGCTCTGGCTGATATCATAGAGAGAAGTGAGTTCTGGAACTTTAGGAAGCTTCCAAAGTGCCCAAAAATACGAATTTTTGGCTCCAAAAACCACCTAGAATGCAAGTTTGTGGACTTCAGAAAGTTCTAAAAACTTCCAAAAATGCTCATTCTTCACCTGAAACCCCTTCTGAGGGGATTCTGAGCTTTTTAGGCCTGAAAGTTCGAATTGTTGAACAATTTCGAGGCTAAAAAATGCCCAAAAATATGAAATTCGGCGGCTCTAAAACGTTAAAAAGCACTCAATTCTCACCAATTTTCTTCCAGGATCCATGACAAGTCTGCCAGAGGGAATAGATGCGAAACCACTGCTGGCCGAACTCGAAACAGGACCCAAAGGAGAGCTCTGCTCTATTGGATTGGCTCTGTTGATGCTGAGAACCGCCAAGAAGGGATCCATCGATCACACGAAGGCGTGGAGTAGAGCGTCTCATGCTGATGCTCTTTACAAGGTACTGGCTTGGAAAAAATAGCTAGGAATCATTGAAATTTCCAAAAAAGAGAACATAAAAGAGACTAAAAAGACAAAAGCTAGTTCTTAAAGTGGACTAGATGACAGAAAATTCAAATTTTCGAACTAGAATATCTAGAAAATCAGTCAATCTTGGCTTTGATGATGGCCCCCTTCTTGTTTCTTCCTAAATAGCTCCTAATTGACCTCCTTATGGTCATCATCATCAGCATGGGGTCCAGAATGACGTCATGATGCACATATATGTTCTATTTAAAATAGAGTACATGAGAATAGGAGACGCAGGTGTTGAAGGAATGGTATTGTACGTGTGTAACGAACACAGAAGATAAGTGGTGGTCCGTAATGGGGGAAAGAAGGTGTGTTGGGAGTGATGGAGAGACATAGACGTCACAAGCAGTACAGGAACATCTCAAGAAAGATCAAGAGAAGGATCTATAGGAGACGTGACATCATTAGAATTCCCCTTAGTTGAAGCTAGCAGAAAGGTGGTGGAAAGATTCTAGAAGGATTCCAGTGGCTTCAGAAGCTTCCAGAACTTCTAAGGGTTCTGTGAACCCTGGGAATGGCATAGCTGGAACCTGAGAAGGATCTGAAAGCCCAAGAATCTATGTATCACATTCAGAAGACGTGAAAGGGAATTCGGAAGGTTTCATAGGTTATGAGACATCTGGAGGCGATGTTAAGTCGCCCAAATCATCCTAAAATGTTCCAGAAGTTCTGGGAGGCATCTGAGCGTCTAAATGATAGGATATATAAGTATTATCACTCCAGAATCTTTCGAAAGACTTGAGCATCGCTCCTAAGCTCCAGGAGCACCTGTGTTGCTATCTCCTATCCTATCTTCCTATAGTTCTTGATCAGAACACCATCAGTCCCTCTTCCTCTTGGGATTTTCTATGTCATCTGTTACTTCGTACCCATGCTCCACCTCACCACCGTCTGTTGAACCAACGCCATCATCCTATTGCACACACCAGTCATTCGTCCCTGACCCGAAGACTTGGTGCCAGATAAGATGACATCACCACCTTCTTCTTCTTCTTACCACCATATGTCCAATGTGCCCGCGCGCGCGTGGATGACAGAGAAGAACACTGGTGACCCCTACGACGCAACAGGCACAAGATGACCCGGACTCCACAGCTGGCAGCTGATGAGATAGATAGATTTTGGCTAGTTGGGATTAGATGACCACCAGATGTTCTGCAAGAGGTGCTGGGTAATCAACGGTGTAGTCATTAGGTAGGATTACCTGGACGAAGCTAATTGGAAGATAATAAAGCGGTGTAGTCATTAAAGTAGTGAGAATAGAGGTGGGAAGAGAAAAAGGATTAGAAGCTATTTATGAGGTAATTACAGTAGGAAACCATAGGAAGTATAAGAAGTGGGAACGCTAATTGGAAGGTAATTACAGTATACCATATCCATAGGAAGTCCAAGAAATGAGGCACTTGGTGCTAGAAGCAGGAGATTGAAAGAATGCTCTGGAAGATTCTCTGGAACTGAAAATTCGTATTCAAAATCCAGAAATTTGGGTCCAAGGCTAAGAAATTAGAGTCTTAAAATAAGAGGTTTTGGCTCTGAAACTAGAGAAATTGGGATTAGAAATAGAGCGCTTCATAGCTGAAGTCATGGAAATTGTGCTCAAAAAATAGAGAGAGTGGAGATGAAATTCTGAAAATTTTAGGGAAAAATAACGATTTTTGGCTCAAAAAATTCTGCATTTTGGGACCTGGAACTAGAGAAATCGAGCTCAAAATAGACAGAATGTAACTGAAATTATGGAAAATTTCATTAAAAAACTCGTTTTTCCAGGAAAAACCACTCTCCCAAACCAAATGGCAAGAAGCTGTCGCCTGGACCAAGCTCGTGGAAATCGTGATCCTTGATCGTCCAGTCATCGACAAGACAGCCGCTCCGAACTTCTCTCAACCCGCTCTCAAGTCCCTCTCCCTTTTGGTATTCTGGCCAGATTGGAGAGTCAGACGACAGGCGTCGAAGAGTCTTCTGAACATTCTGAATATCGAGAAGGCGTTATTCGCAGAAGCCCTAGCTGATTTGATCTTCTTGGAGACGACGAATGGAACGATTGATCAGTTGTTGAGACGAGTTCCAGGCTGTCCAACACCAACCGACTCTTGGCAGGTACCTGGAGAATGGTACGTGTCCACTCTGAAACATCTTCTGACCCCGAAAGAACCGGAACTGGACAAGCTGGCCATCCACACCCTTCTCCTTGCTTCTATCCAGCGATTGGTCGAGGTTGATGGATCCGTTTGGTTGCGATGGGTCCACGAGCATCGGGAATCCAAGACATGGCAAGCCAGTGAGCTATTCCGGGAGACTGCGATTCAGAGGGTCCTCCAGTGCAAGGATCGTGGAGTTAGAAACACCGCTTTGATCACCCTGGTGGCCCTGCACGACGAACGCCTTCGTCAGGAACTCTGGAAGCACGTGGAGGCGAACATTCGAGAGTTGGAAGTCAAGGATTACGGTAGAATCACGGAGAACGAGATGGCGATTTACAAGTGTCCAGAAGGGCAGCTCTACAATACGAGAGTCCTGGATTTCGATGAAGCCGCTGGAATCAAGGGCACCAAAGGAACGAGTATCGAGGATCAGCTCGCTGAGATTCAATTGATGTAAGTCCCTCTTTTTAAAATTTAGAAGTTAAAATTCTCAAATTTTCAGTCGAGAACTTGCTGAAAAGCGACGAAAAGAAGGAAAACTGTCAGCTAAGCAGAAGCAAGTGATGGATAAGGAGTTGGCTGCAGAGAAGGAGACTCGAGATGCTATTAAAGGATTGTTCGAGACAGCTGAAGCCAAATTGAACGAAGCTAGAGCTATGGTCATGGCCGATGCTGCTGGAGCGTTCGCGAGGTGAGATTGGGATCTTAACAAGGGAACCACAACACCTCGTCAGTTTGGATTTCAATGAAATTTTCAGTATATGTCACGGATAGCCTATCTAGACATCCCTGAAAATTTTAGAACACGCTCGCCAGTTTCAGCCGAGTTATACCAGTTTCAGTACCAAAAATCGCGTTTTCAGTACAAAAATAGCGGTTTTCAAAGGCGATTTTCTCCGCTCCCAGGAGGTTCCAGAACATGAAATGTGTTTTGTTATACTCAAAATTATGTGTAATATCATATTTCAGACATTTTCTGAAAAAAATTTTTTTTTTAATTTGAGATTTTTTTCCACCATTTGGGTGAGTGGTTTTATCGAGCTTTTGTCAATTTGGAAAATTTCCTTGAAAAAGTAAGGATAATTGTTTGCAAATATTATTTTACAACTGATAGATAATCTATTTTTTGATTGTGCGCTTTTCATTATTCATTCACGGTCCGTATAGGTCCAAAAACAGAGCTTCAAAACCACCACATTCCAGAACTTCCGTAAAACCTCTAATAGAACGACACCCGGATCGTCCACTTTGAGCCTATATATCTCATTTTCTGCCAAAGATATCAAAAAGTGGCTAACTAGTAAAATGTTGCTGATATCCTGATAAACATTTTACTAGTTAACCACTTTTTGATATCTTTCAAAAGAAGTGAGATATATAGGCTCAAAGTGGACGATCCGGGTGTCGTTCTATTAGAGGTTTTACGGTATTCAAACCTTTGGAAGATTTTTGAAAAAAATTGTTTTCCTTAATTTTGTCTATACTCTCTTGAATTGATAAAATTTTGAAACATATGTCAGAGGGATCCTGAAATGTCGCAAAATAAGAAAAAATAAGAAAAACAAAGAAAAAGCACTAGAGAACCCACAGCCTTGTGACTACTGGCGCCCACCACATCCCCGACACCACGGCGATTTACTTTTGATTCGAAAGGCGGTAAAATGTCAGGCCCTCTTCAAACTCGTTTTAAAGGGATTTCGGGGATGGAATGTGTGGTAAAGCATGCAAATCAACGGATTTCAGTACTAAAACTTTGAACTGATATAACTCTGCTGAAATTGGCGAGCGTGTTCTAAAATTTTCAGGGATGTCTATCCTTGACATTTCCTGAAATTTTCATCGACATCCAAACTGACGAGGTGTTGTCGTTCCCTTGTAAAATGACTGGAAGCTGGAAATTGCCAGTAAAATTGGGTTTCCAAGGTCTAAAATAGTTGGACTTTGTAATTTATTCTAGGAAAATGGAGTGTGAGATCTAAAAATTGGTTTTTAGAGGGTCTAGGTCTAGTTTTGGCCTCTTGTCGAGGCCTAAAATAGCTGGAACAATGGAAAATTTCAGATCCGACCTCCTGTTCGACTACTGTATGCCTCTGACTCGCTCGCTTCTCGTTGCCGAACAAGCCGCCTGTCTATTCCTCGCCTATCGTGACGCCTGTTTCGAGCATTCCGATGATTATTTGGGTGAGCGTTTTCAAAAGCCTTTTTGCCATTGAAATGTCTGGAAGCGGCGGAAAAATGGCCGAAATTCGTGATTTTTGAGGCTTAAGCAGTCATTTTTTGGCTAGAAAATGTCTGAAAATGGCCAAAATTTGTGTTTTTTGGACTCTTGGATCCCGAATTGGCCATTTTGTTGGTCATTTTTCGCTTAAAAATAGGTCAGAAATGGGCTTTGAAAATCCCCAGGAATTGTTTTTTGAGGTTTCAAGGGCTAGAAAACTTTCCAGTCTAGGAGTAGAAAATGGTCATTTTTGGGGCAAAATGGACCAGAAATGGGCTTCAAAACCCATGGAATCGTCTGAAGACGCTGAAAAAAAACCCAGAAAATCTGGAAATATTGGATTCTTAAAGTAGAAAAGTGTCATTCAGTTGGTCATTCCTAGCTAAAAATGGCCCAAATTTTTTTTTGTAATCGTCTGAAAATGCTGGGAAAAATTTGAATTTCCCTCCGAGAACCCATCTTCATATCTCATGACAAAGATTCTCATCCGTTTCTCATCGGAAAGAAATCTATCGCACCTCCTATCTCTGTCAATTTTCCTCCTCGATTTTCACGGCCACATTTTGCCTCCTCTCTCTCTCTCTCTCTCTCTCTCTCTCTCTCTCTCTCTCTTTTTGACATTGAGAATGAAATGGCATCAGCAGCAGCAGAGGAACAAGAGGCATTGGGTTGGGGTGGAAGAGGTGTTGTAACACTTTATGTTATCTATCTCTGTCTTTTTGTCGATATTTTCTTCTTTTCAAAATGCTGTAGAAGAAGATCTGAAGACATAGATAAAAGCAGAGAGAAGGTGGGAAAACAATTAGTTTACCCTAAAAATAATACTAAAAAATTATGATCATCAATAGTGCAACATACTTGTTTTGATTCGACGGAAATTAAAAGAATATGAGTTCATCAATGATGGTAGTGCTACTGAGGGAAGATCAGATATGCTGGAGGCTCCTGAAGCAATTTTGGATCTATCTTGGAGGGTTTGGAGCCAATTTTCCTTGATTTTCTGATCTGAAAACCAATGAAACTTTATTCCATTGTGTAGATCTTAATAATTTCTACATTTTGAGCTATAACTTGTCCTAGAATGTTAACATGGGGGGTTTGAAGATAAACATTTTCTGTGGCCAGAATTCCAATTCTATAGGAAGTATCCTAATTCTGGAGACTCCTGGAGGTGCCTGAAGCAATCTGAATCGATTATGAATGTTTTTGAGCCAATTTCCTTGATTTTCTGATCTGAAAACCAATGGAACTGTATTCCAATGTATAGCTCTTAATGAGATCTACATTTTGACCTATAGCTTGTTCTGGAACACCAAATTTGAAGAGAAATACGGTGCAGCAAGTTTCAGACGACCTGTGTCCCTGAAATCGATGCCAGCTGAGCTTAGCCTAATTTGTCCTTGAAGTGATGAAAGTTGGTTTAGAATCAACAGTTCCTCTCATACCAACTCTAGAATGCTCTCCAATATAGAATGTCTTGGAATATTGAGTATCAGGCAGTCTCTAGTCGATTCTCTTGGTCCCATAGTCGTTGAAGTGCTGAACAGTTCGATTTGGAATCAACGAACTCTTGATTTTAGAATCCTACAGTTGAAACTCTCATAAAATTCCGACTTTTCACATTTTTTTTGTACACAGCTGTTGGCCGCTGTACAAACTGATGAAATCGGTGTGGTGGTGTTCGTCGGCTTGTTTGCCACTAGTACCACCAACTGTTGATTCTTTTTGCTGTGTTGTTTACTCCCTCTTTCCAACAAGCATCAGGTGTTGTTTCGAAACGGCAGCAGCATGTGTTCGTTCTACTGTACGTTTTGAAACATACATGTTTGAATTCTTGGATCCAGTTGGATCGTGCTCGTCAGTGTTTTTTACAGTGCTCAATTTTGACCATCTAGCTCGCAACTTGCTCGTATTATATATAAAATCATGAGAGGAATCTAATGGTATCGGTTGGCAAGCTATTAAACTAACACAGAAAAAGTTGTTTTGCTTGTCAACTCTAATACCAGGAATTCTTGACATGTATGTTTTGAGAGATGGCACTGTTATCAAGGTAGAGGGAACTCCATGATCTGGAACTAATGGATCCGGAATCTACGGATTTTAGAGCTCCAGGATTTTTAACTAACAGAGAAATCTGATTAGTGATCCAGGAATGGAGTATTCTGAAGTTCAGAATCTGAACTCTAGTACTCAGCTTCCAATAGACGGATTCTAGAGAATTTGCAAGTTCTTGGAATTCAGAAACCCGAGATCTATAGAAATGATCATATGAAGATCATTTAGGACTGATCCACAGGTTCTAGAAAATTCTGAAAGGTCCTGGAACCCAGTAATCTCTGAAGAGCTCATTAGGGATCCTTGGAATCTTCCAAACATCCCAAAAGAGTCCTGAAACGTTGAACTCCCGATTCCCTCGTTGTTTATCATCTCATTCTTTTTTTTCTTCTTTTTTTTGCTAGAAGAAAAACTGATAAGCTATCAGTTGGCACACAGTTGGCAAGCAGAAGAAAATCGCAACAAATATTTTTGTGCACAAGAAGAAGAAGTAGGGTTCTCCCTCTCTTTCTTCATTACACACCACTATCAATTTGCTGCTATCAATGTGATAATGATGATGATGATACTGGAGAGCACTAATTGAAGAATGGGGGAATTTTGGGAGAGTAAAGGGACCCATAAGAAATCCTATCGACCAGGATGAGCAAGTGATTGATATGAATGAAAAACTGAATGGATTTCGAAGCTTCTAGGTGGTTCTAGTTGAGTCTTCTAAAGTTCTAGAAGACGATTCGATGCTTTAGAAGATTGATCCTAGATCCTAGAAGATGATTCTAGGTTCTAGAAGACGATCCGAGGTCCTAGAAGATGATCCGAGGTTCGAGAAGATGATCAGAGGTTCTAGAAGACGATAAGAAATTCTAGAAGACTTCTAAAGGTTCTTGAGCGTTCTAGAGCTTCCTGGAGCTTCTTCTAGCCTTCTGAAATTCTAGAAGACTCCTTCTTACGTCCCAATCTCATGACATCGAAAATTGAGTGATTACCCTTATCACAAGGTTTGGAGCTCTCTAATCTTAACCGGAAAGTTGATAAGGAGACTGGACGGTTCTGGATTGCTGGAAGCTCTAGATGCTTCTGAAATGACGAATTCAGAATATCTAGATCATCTAGATCCGATTCTTTGGAAATTCAAAAAATCCATGACCCCAGCTGCCCTTTCCTTTGTTCTCTTCAGCAGAGACTCTTCCGATGATCGCAACGTGCCCACCACTGTCAACATTTGGCGCCAAAACGCAACGAAATCGCAACTTTTTGTGCTCTCCTCTCTTCTCTCTGTTATATCATATAACCACCACACTCACCAGAAAGAGAGTGACAGACAACAAAAAATCCGACGACCTCTGTGTCCTCTCTACGAACCTGCGCCCTCTTGATTGCCCAGTGTCCCTCGCCAGGCAATCTAGGTGCCTCGGCGTTGGGTCGAATTCCATCGCACACAGGCAGCACAGTCTCCGCTCTCCTGTGAGGAGGGCAAATCACGAGAGACTGTTACATAACGGGAGAGTCGAGACGAAACAAGAGAGTGTTGCATTTTTCGGGCGGCCCCGACTCCGCCTCCACTGACCGCAGAGGGAGAAGAGACACGCCCCCCATTCTCCACAGCTTGGAGTAGAACCCACGCTGGTCTCGTCATTCGACGTAGAATCAAGCGTCTGGTGAGCAGCTCTCCTTGTATTCCTCTACTCCCGGCTAGACATGCCTGCAATGACACAGAAGAACTGGCAATGAAACCAATACTACTTATTTCATTACGGTCTGTGTGCCATAGCTGGCGTGTCTCTAGCCAGCCTATTCTACTCGGCCTCGCCGACCATGACACACTGGCTGGTCTGGAATGATTTCGGCTCCTCCGGTCCGCCCGAGTGCCACGAAACGGCGAGAGCCTTGGCATTCAGTTCTATTCCTTTCCTTTTTGATTCAAGAATCCTCGGCCTCGCCGACCATGACACTGAAGCGTGTACGGATGGAAAGTTGAAGCCTTCCGTTCCGCTAGTGTGCCATGCAACGGCGAGTGCCTTGGCACTTTGTATAGTATTCCGTTATTCTTTCCGAAGGCCCCGCCTTCCATGACACCCAAGCGTGTCTGGAATGACAGAATGGTCCTCCGGACCGCTGATGTGGCATGAACGGCGGGAGTTGGTCCCTAAAAGGACAGGTAACATTTTCCTCCCCTTCTTCCGAACTCACCATCTATGACACTGTTTAAATGAAACAGGACTTTCTCTAACACACCGGGTTCCTGCTCATTTCAGTGTCATTGATTGGTTTGATTCTTTCGCTTTTTGTATTCCTGTATTCCCTATATTCCCTGTATGGTAAGGTCCTAAAGACCCTCACCAATCATGACACTGAAGCGGGAATGGAAGCGTAGTCAGATTGCAATTCCTACCGGGTTCAGTGTCATACTTGGTGCGGATGAGTCTGCAAGTTTTTAAAATCATTTTGTGTGGAAATTAAGGAGCATAATTCAGGAAAATTGGGCCAGAAAGCTCACAGACGCTTCCAAGAGCTTCCAGAATGTTCTAAAATGATCCTATGATCTTCGAAATAAGCTGGACATCAGAAGTCTTTTCGAAGGCTCTAGAAGGTCGCAGAAGGTTCCAGAAGGCTCTAGAATAATCCTCTGAGCTTTGAAATGCCAAACAGCAGAAGATATGGATTGATTAGTTTCGATTTTTGGGGTCTAGGAGATCCTTTGGGACACTTTAAAAGCCATCACAGCCAGAACCAGGTGGATAATTCCGAATTTTTAAAATAAATTCTGTGTAATCGCCTACAAGCACTTGATTCCTAGGAGCAGAAGCTTCCAGAATGCTCTATACGGTTCCAGAAGGTCACAGAAGATTCCAGAAGGTTCAGAAGGCTCCAGAAGGCTCTAGAAGGTACCAGATGGTCCCAGACGGTTTAAATAAGTTCCAATAAGTTCCTCCAAAAGGTTACCGAAGCTTGCAAAGGTTCCAGAAGGTCTCAGAACATTTCAGAGCGTTGAAAACCCATTCAGATGACGTCGGACGTTTCCAGAAGCTTCGAATCTTCTTCCTATGTAACACTATCCGTTGTAAATCATAAGCATAGCAACGATTTGTTTATAAGCCTATCTCTGATGTTGGAAAGCTGTCAGGTCTCTTACTATCAGTGTAACTCAGCACGACCTACGGAAGGAGGCTATAAATCAATCGGGATGTTGGTTCCGTCTGTTCCACCTTTGAACTGACCCTGAATAGTTTGTGATCGTAGTCGCCGAGATGCAGATGAGCTCTGTACCAAGGCTAATTGGTCCCTAACTCTGTTTAAAGAGCGCGACTTGAGCTACACGGCAGAAGGCTGTGCAGCAGAATTTAGAGCTTGTTTGGAGCTATACAGAAATTGATAAGCCTTGATTAACAGTGTCTTTGAAATTGGAAGGTCCAAGGTTATCACCGTATTCGCTGTAATAGAAGCCCACAGAATACTTGAACTTTGAGCTCAATTGTCTCACTTCCCGTGAGAGATATTAAGGATGTCCTATCTGATAATATATAGTTGATATTATGGTAAACATTTTATCAGTTGACGGATTTTTGATATCTCTGATAGGAACCGAGATAATTGATCTCAAAGCTGACGGTTTGGTTGGGCTTCTATTAGAGCAGATACTGTAGTTCCTGTTATGATTCAACTAAGCAATTGTGATAACCTCTAAATTTGTCCAAAAATTTAGCAATTTCGAATTCTTCCTTTTTTCAAATAATTCCCCTTGGGTTCGTTCCTGCCAAACTGTGTAATACTAATAACATCGTCTTCTCTACCACTGGTATACACAGGTATGAGTAACGTCCGCCACTACCACAACCAGCAGAGTGTACAGAACAAACTTTACACTTTTTGCAGAAAGAAAGAATGATAGAAAAGTGTACAGAACAAAAAAGAAAAGAAGTTTGAAGGCACGAAGAATTGTAGTAATATTACTGTCAGATAGTACTGTATACGCAGGAATGAAATGATGGGATCCAAAAAAGAGCAGGATCTAGGTTACAGTTTAAGCTGAAAGCAAGGGATGTCATTCCATAATGTTCTAAAGCAGTCCAGAACGTTCTAAAGCAGTCTAGAAGGTTCTAGAGCATTCCAGAAGAAGGTTCTAGAGCATTCCAGAAGAAGGTTCTAGGACATTCCGGAAGGTTCTAGGTCATTCCAGAAGGTTCTAGAGCATTCCAGAAGAAGGTTCTAGGACATTCCGGAAGGTTCTAGGTCATTCCAGAAGGTTCTAGAGCATTCCAGAAGAAGGTTCTAGGACATTCCGGAAGGTTCTAGGTCATTCCAGAAGGTTCTAGAGCATTCCAGAAGGCTCTTGAGCATTTCAGAAGGTTCTAAGGTTCTAGGGCATTCCAGAATGTTCTAGATCATTTCAAAAGGTTCTGGAGCGTTCCGGAAGGTTCTAGGGCATCCCAGACGGTTCTAAAGCATTCCAGAAGGCTCTAGAGCATTCCAGAAGAAGGTTCTAGAGCATTCCAGAAGGTTCTTAAGCATTCCAGAAGGTTCTAAAGCATTCCAGAAGGTTCTAGAGAATTCCAGAAGGCTCTAGAGCATTTCAGAAGGTTTTAGGACATTCCAAAAGGTTATAGAGAATTCCAGACGTTTCTAAAGCATTTTAGACGTTTCTAGAGCACTTCAGTAGGTTCTAGAGCATCTCAGAAGGTTCTAAAGCATCTAGAAGGTTCTAAAGAATTCCAGAAGGCTCTAGAGCATTTCAGAAGGTTCTAGGGCATTCCAGAAGGTTCTAGGGCATTCCAGAAGGTTCTAGAGCGGCCAACAAAAATGAACAATTTTATTTTAAAAATCTTGCAGAAGAACTCGTTGGCTCAAATTGGCTCCGCGTCATTGGTGCTCACCATCGCGTTCGAGGATGGTACGACGAACCGCTGGACTCGGCTCTCAAGAGAATGTTCTCCCTACTCAACGAAAGAGCATTCGTCGTGGATTCTGGAGATGACGATGATGCAGATGCCATTCTCTTCGATGATGAGATTGTAGGAGCATCCCAATTGACACTCCTCTTCCCAATGATCAAAATCATTTTGAAAAATCACAAGAGATTTGGTGATTCTACAAGAAACGACGCTCTTCAACTTCTTCAGTGTGCAATTCACAAGAAGTTCCTGAGAGATAAGGATGTTCTGAATCTGCCAATGGAGCACTACGCGTCGATGCTTTTCGAGTACTTCTCCCAGGATTCTGGAGCCACGAACGCATTCAAAGCAACTCAGCAGTTATTCAGACTGGCTAATGATACGAATGATATCGGAGAACGAGTTATCGGAATGGTTCGAGAGATTTTGGCCTACGTTGGACATGAGAATCATTCGGTTAGAATCGCTGCGTTGGAGATTCTGGGGGCACCACAGCTTCTGATGAGGATCGTTGTGGAGTTGGGATTGGAGGCGTCGATTTCTAGAGAAATTCTGGTTAGGGTTTACGTGGCAAAACACGATCCGATTGAGCAGGTGGCGACGGTGGCGGAGACGTTGTGGCATCAGAATCATATGCAGGCAAAGACGATTATTGGGTCGATGCTAGTTGGTGAGTTTTTTTTTCTTATTTGAAATGTAAGAATTACCGGGAAACCTGTTTTAGAAGGGCCGGGCCTTCTATATACAGGTTTTACGGTAGGTGATTCTTAGCTAGGCTTAATTAAGTGCTTCTAAATTGAAGCTAGGCTCTTTCCTTTTAGGCTGAAATAGCTACTAATTGTAAGCTAAAGATGAACATGAGCAATGCCTCAAAATCCCAAGGGTTCTGATTTTCCAGACGAATGTGTGTCTCCATCCCCATTGGTCCGTCAATCTGCTGCCCAGGCTATGTCCAGCTTCATCGAAGAACACCCCGATCAAATGAAACCCACCCTGACAAAATTCGACGCCACCTACAAAGACCTCGTTCTGATTCGCGAGCCAATCTACGACGACGTCGGACGTCTTCAACGAGAAGCCATCGATGAATCAGACCGAAGATCAGGCATCGGGTACACCTTGGTCCTCCTCTCCTCTCTCTGTCAACAAGAAGATGCTGAGCAATTGATCTCCATTGTTGCCCCTGAAGGACTCTCGGATCGTCATCCAGAGTGTAGAAATGAGCTTCGCAATGCTGCGGTGGAGACGATTAGAAGACACGGCGCGGCTTGTATGAATGTGTTATTGCCATCGTTAGAGAAGATGTCAGATGAGACGCCGGCTACAGATGATAATAGAAGACAGGGATTGGTGGTGTTGTTGGGAACACTTGCACAGTATATTGATAGTACTGAGAAGGTGAAGAGTATTGTGGCACGGCTCGTGGAAGCGCTCTCAACGCCAAGTCAGACTGTACAGGTAAGGAATTCAAGTTAGAAGCTATAAAGCTTAGATTGGACAGTCCAAGTTGAACTCTAGCGGCCAAAAAATCAGATTCCTAACTGGATTTTTAGATTCCAAAAGACCGATATTCAAGTATGTGTATTCCAGGAATCCGTATCCCGCTGTCTGGCCCCACTCGTCCCAAAAATCCGTCAAGACGCTAAAGACCTAGTCAGCAAGCTGCAATGGACCCTCTTCGAAGCGGAAACCTATGGAGAACGACGTGGAGCAGCCTATGGAATCGCTGGATTGATGAAAGGAATGGGAATTATTGCCCTGAGAGATGTAGACCTCCTCGCTTCGATTCAGAAGAATATGGAGGACAAGAAGAGTCCGAAACATCGAGAAGGAGGTCTCCTAGCACTGGAAATCCTTTGTAGTACTATTGGAAAGCTTTTCGAGCCTTACATCCTCAAAGCGCTTCCAGCATTGCTCATCACTTTTGGAGATAACGATGCAAACGTAAGACAGAGTGCAGAGGACACAGCGAAGGCTATGATGGCAGCTATGACTGTTTATGGTACCAAGCTGGTACTCCCCTTGCTCCTAGTTGCTATTGACGATGACTCCTGGAGAACTAAATGTGCAGCTACTGAACTTTTGGGATCCATGGCATTCTGTGCTCCTCGACAACTCTCTTCTTGTCTCCCTAACATCGTTCCAAAGCTTATTGAAATTCTGGCGGATTCCTCTTCCAAGGTCCAGAAGTCTGGAGAGAAGGCTCTTCAACAAATCGCCCGTGTCGTTAGAAACCCCGAAATCCTCGGAGTCACCAATCAACTCATGGCTGGACTACTGGACCCTGCCAACAAGACGTCAGCTGCCCTTCAAGCCGTCCTCAACACCAAATTCATTCATTACATCGATGCTCCGTCGCTAGCACTCATGATGCCAATTGTGAGAAGAGCTTTCGAGGATAGAAACAGTGAAACGAGAAGAGTGGCTGCTCAGATCATCAGTAATATCTATTCGCTAACAGAGAACAAGGATATGGAGCCTTATCTGGCTCATATGGTTCCAGGACTTCAGCGATCTCTTTTGGATCCGGTTCCAGAGATTCGTGCGGTTTCAGCGCGTGCTCTAGGAGCAGTTGTTTCGAAATCTGGAGGATCCACATCGGAGAACCTTCGATCCCAAGTCATTCCATGGCTCAAAGAAAAGCTCGTCTCTCCACAATCCACTGTCGATCGTTCTGGAGCTGCACAAGGACTGTGTGAAGTGTTGGCTGGAGCCGGAACTGAGCAATTGGAGTATGTTATGCCGGAGATTATTCATGCGACGGAGAGTACCGAGGTGTCAGCTGAGACTCGTGATGGATACATTCTCATGTACATCTATTTGCCAATGACGTTCGGAGATCGATTCGTGCCCTATTTGCCGCAGGTGGTGCCACCGATTTTGAAGGCGTTGGCTGATGAGAATGAGTGAGTTTTTTTCCCTAGATTCTAGATTCTCATAGATCCTAACTCCTCTAGATTCTATGTCCTTCTAGATCCCTTTAGGTCTTTCTAGATTCTTCTAGGACCCTCTGGATTCTTCAAGATACTTCTCGATCTTTCTACAGCCTTCTAGGTCTTTCTAGACTTTTTTTTGACTTTTCTAGATCCTTCTAGATCCTTTTAGATTCGTTTACTTCCTTCTAAGCCTTTCTTGATCCTTCTAGAGCGTTCTGGATCCTTCTGGACTCTTCTGGAGGTCTAGGGCCTTCTAGGCTATGCTAGACCTTTCTAGGACCTTCTAGATCTTTTTTGG